TGGTGCCGCTTGGTTACCGCCGGCTCGAATAGAGACAGTAGGAGGAGGTGCCATGGTTTTGGATTGGGGTTTTCGATACACTAGAAGTGGTGGAGAGATTTGTGAAGTTTTAGATGTAGAAGATGGTGAATTTATAGGTGTGTTGGGGTTTGGCGGTTGACGGGCAGTGCTCGAAGGCTTCAGAGAAGATGGGCATGGACAATGAGATTCCTGGGCAATGGGAATTATAGAAGGAGGAGAGAGGATTACCTGGAGTAGAAGTCTTTGAAGAGTCCGAATCTGCTTCTGCCGCTGGCACGCCGGAAATGGAGGATTGTAGTGGTGGGTCAATTTGGTTTGGGGAAGGAGATGTCGTTTGGGATTGGGGTTCTGCCACTAGAATTTGTATTTCAATGTGGTGGGGCAAATCTGAAATATTAGAGACATTAGGGGTGAGATTGGGTGTATTAGCAATTGCACTAGTTGTCCATTCCAGGTGCCTTTTTTGAATTGTAATATTAGAGAACAAATCTTTGAAAGGAAAGTTATTTTCAACAAAATGTACATCACGGGATAAATAATTTTTTGATGAGATTGGATCAAAGCATTGGTGGCAGTGATGGGACAATGAAAAACCGAGATAAACACATGGGGTAGATTTTGGTTCAAGTTTATTTTTAGAGTATGGTTTAAGCCATGGATAACATAAACACCCAAAATTCTTAGAGAAGCATAATCAGGTGTTCTACCAAATAATTTTTCAAAAGGAGAATTATTATTTAAAAGTGTGGTGGGAGTCGGTTAATGAGATAGACCGCATGGTGCCAAGCAAATGACCAAAAAGGTGATGGGAGAGACGCCTATGTAAGAGTGTTCGTGCAGTTTCAATAATGTGACGATGCCTGCGCTCAGCAAGAGCAGCTCTTTGAGGCATATAGGGTGGGGTGGAAAGGTGTTCGATACCGTGAAGCGAGAGATAAGGGTCAAGACTTTTATACTCTCCTCCACCATCAGTATAAAGCAATAGAATTTTGGTATCAAAATGTTTTTCTATCAAAGGATGGAATTTTTGAAAAATTTCTCTAACTTCAGATTTATTTTTAAGTGTGTAGAGCCAAGTGTATCTTGTGTATTGATCAACAAAAATGCAGTAATATAATTTTTTATCAAGAGATAACACAGGAGAGGGTCCCCATAAATCACTGAAATAATTTGAAGAGGTTTAGAGCTTTCTAGAGTTAATGTGTGAAACGGATGCCGATGGGCTTTATTAGACAGACAAGAATTACAATAAAGAAACTTGTCTCGCTCAACAAATGGGAGCGAGAATTTATTCAAGACATATGCAAGAACTGTAGAATGCGGGTGACCCAATCTTTGGTACCAAGTGGTCAGGGAAGTTGAAGTGGTAGATATGTGAGCTTGTGGATGTGAAGTGGGCCACTCATACAGTCCATCTTTGGTCCGGCCTCGTGCCAACGGTGTCCGCGTTTTCAGATCCTTCACAAGAAAAGAAAAAGGAAAGAATAAACAGATGTTAGATTGTCCTGACAAAATTTAGAAACAGAAATAAGATTACGTTTGATAGCTGGAGCACATAGAGTGTGAGTTAGCTTAAAAACATTATTTGATGCATTTAACTGAGTAGAACCAATATGTGAGATGGGAATTTTGTTACCATCACCCATGGAGACATCCTGGTTGCCGTGGTATGGTTGTAGGTTATGAGGTTCGGTTGTGACATGGTGTGTGGCACCAGAGTCCACTATCCACGGGTTAGCAGTAGTGTGAAGCCTGTGATATAATTGGCTTTGGCCTCAAAATGATTATGTGACTTGGATCGACATACATTTGCAGTATGGCCAATCTTGTTGCATAATTGGCAACGAACAACACCCATTGGGTTATTGTTTTGGGGTTGCCACTAGATGGATGTATTGGAGCGAGTATTCTGTCGCCATGGTTGAGAGTTGTTGTAGGATTGGCGGCGATTGTTGCGATTGTTGGCATTGTTGTTCTGTTTGTTGTGAGTAGCAACTGCCGCTGTGATAGGACTAAGAGTTTTCTTAGCTTCCTCATGTTAGATAAAGAGCTCGTGATCGAGCAATTTTTCATAAAATTCCTCATAGGTGACGGTGGTGTCACGTGCTCGTATGGCAGCCGATATCTCACGAAACTCAGGGCCAAGTCCACTAAGAATCTTGACGATAAGTTCAGAGTTAGTGACCGGAGCACCTGTAGTGGCAAGTTCATCAGAGAGGGACCGAATGCGCTGAAGGTACTCAGTAATAGGAATGTTGTCTTTTGTGATTCGTGCAAGTTGGTCACGAAGGCTGAAGATCCGAGTCTGGGACTTGTTTGCATAAGCAGTGTGCAAGGAGTCCCAACCATGTTTGGATGTGTTGGCAGCAGCAACTGTGAAAGCAATGGTAGGGTCAACAGATGCCATAAGAGCGTTCTGGATGAGTTGATCCTGACGGAACCAAAGCGTATAAGCAGGATTAGGAGTTGTATTGGTGCCAAAAGTAGTGGTCGGTGTGGGAATCAGGGTAGACCCATCAAGGTGACCATAGAGGTCATGGCCGTGCATAAGCATGGAGAACTGAGCTTTCCAAGTGGCAAAATTGTGACTGCCACTAAGTTTGATAAGTAGTTGGGAAGCGGGGTTGAATTGGATGATGGTTGTGGTGCCGGTAGTGTTGTCGGCATTGACAACTCTGGTAGTGTTTCCATCTTTCGTCATTGGAGGGTTTGGTGTGGAAAAGAAAAAAAATATTGGATCGTGCTCATTAGAGTTGTATGGGCTCAGATACCATAAAAACACTCAAGAATATGATGGAAAACTGTATCTGTATTGAATGCTAAGCTCAGTTTAAATACAAGTCTTCCTAAGAGTACTCCTTGAATTAGGAGACTTATTCAAATCAAAACACTATCTAGAGCTAACTAACTGAATGATAAGTATGAACTAAAAGGATAACTCTAAATCTATATCTAATCTAAGGATAAGCATGACAGCTAAGAACTAATCCAAAGGGATAAACAACTAGTTACAACTGTTGTTCCAATAATTTATGTCCCTGTCACTAGTGACCCTCCTAGGTGGACTAGTGGGGGTTGACATGGATCTGATGACATACCACGTGGCTTCCATGTGGGAATAATTTTTACACGGTGGAAACAATTTCCATTTATCCCCTTGTCCCACTATCCTCCCCTCTCCTACCGCTCCTCTTCCTCCTCCCCTTTACTATTGTTACGACCGCTACCACCATTTCCTCCCCCCTCCATCATCACTAGCCCTTCCTCATCTCCCTCCTCTATCATCATCCCCTCTCTTACCCTATTCAACAAACGCCACCTAAAACCATGATCCTCACGTTACACCGCAATCCTTACTCTTTCACACCCATTCACAAGATATGTCCCCCAATTATATTTTTTAGTTCATCTACTTCTACAGAAAACCCAACAATTATCTGTAAAAAGAACGAGCTTGTCGTGAAAATAGAAACCCGCATTCATGCACCACAAAATCAACCATCAAATTCTTACTAAGAGATCCCTACACAAATTGATGGATTTGACCCCCTTTCCTTGATGTGGATGGATCTTATGGTGAGGTGGATACAACACCCTTTTGCTAATGTAATTTTATGTTGAGAGACAGATCTTTGAATTCTTCCACCAATTTATTTTATTTTATTTTAATTTTTCGTGATATGGTATTTCTCTTATATGTCTAAGCTTTGGTGGATAGAATTACCCGGTACATGTGCTAGTGGGAGGTAGTAGGTACCCGGTGGAATTAGTCGAAATGTGCGCAAGCTAGTTCGGGCACTACCTTTAATTAAAAAAATGGTATCTTTATGCAAAGGATGTTTTTGGTAGGACATGTTGTTTGGGCATTCATTGGGGTATTTATTTTCGTGTGTTAATGGAGGTGGTAGTAGTGTGATCGTAACTAGTAAGGGCAAGGAGGATGCTGGTGTTAATTATTGTGGCAGTGTATCTCATGAAGAATAGACGGAGGGGATGGATGATGATTGTGAAGAGCTCCACATTGGTGCTTTAAGGGATGAGTGATCTCCTTAAGATGACTTGGGCAATCCTCACCTCATGAGCTAGCTTTTGGGGTTAAGTTAGGCCCAAGGTCCATTTCTTTAACAGCGTATCAGAGCAAGACCCATCCAAATTCTCGTTTCCCAATGTTGGGCCCCCATATTAAGTTGCCCACGCTCCGGATGTCCAGCCCTGGGCGTGAGGGGTAGTGTAAAGAGTCCCACATTGGTGCTTTAAGGAATGGGTGGTTTCCTTAATATAATTTGGACATTCCTCATCTCATGAACTAGTTTTTGGGGTTGAGTTAAGCCCAAGGTCCATTTCTTTAACAATGATCATCCCTATGTATATTATGGTGGTGGTGATAGTGGTGAGGTAGGTGGTGGTGGAAGAAGGGCTGGAGGGGGAAGGGGAGGAAGTGGGGGAGGAAGAAAAGATATGGGTTTTGTAAATCTTGTCTATGTGGAAGCCACGTGGACTCCGATGTGGTAAAATATCAATGACAAATTAGCCCCGTCAGCCCATTTTGGAGGGCCATTGGTGACGGGCGTAAATGCGCCGATTTGTAACGGCGAGGGAATGTATGAGCAGATAGGTTAACTAAGGATATATTTAAATCAAATCACAAACGACAGGGGCAAGTCAGATCGTTTTCCCAAATATCAACACCACTTTGATTAATTTCATTCTTTTCCACTTTTTGGGGATTGCTGGTGGGGCCATTAGAGGGAAGGAAAGAAGGCAACTTCTAAATCTTCAACAAAAAATGTTGTTACATTTTCTCTACATAAATGACTAAGATGAAGTATGTAATACGATACTGTTTTAACTTTTGAAAGCATCAACTTGTGAAAGAGCATACAGAAAGAAGCAGCAAAGTTACAGACAATTACATATTTTTCTTTTGAGTGCAGCTAAATATCTAATTGGTGCCGACTTACTGACAATCTTTGTTTCACAGGTTAGGAGGAGAACTCAGCAATTACAGGTTGTAATTGAGAGATGGAAAACAGAGGACTAAATCTTAATTGCATCCAGCACTGCTCTACTGGTACACAACTATATCGATCACGCATACACCAACGTTTCTTTATTCTGCGTGCATGTTAGAGATTAAGAGTCACTTATGTCAGAAGTTTTTTTTAGCAAAAAAACAGATCCTGCCATCATCATCTACCTTATCCAACTAACTTACAAATTGAATTTTCAGGCATGATTATCCAGCTTATAGTTCGAAATAGAAGCCAGCCCTGCCAAGGGTACAATTACAATAGCTAGGCCTCAAATCCAAGCAAATTGGAGTCGGCAATATGAGTTCTCACTGTCCATGTTGCTCCATTTATGCTAGTCTCGATCCAATATTATAAAAAACTAGTTGTCCAAGCTTGGTGGACAAAGTTACATGGTGTGGGGTAGCAAGTACCCCGTGGAATTAGGGTTGTGCTCAATTCGGATATATTCGAGAATCCGAACTGATTTATGCTATTCTGATAGTCAGAATTTCGGTTATATGGTTCAGATATGGGAACAGGATTTAAATTTTTTGGATATACGTGCAGGTGCGGTTTGGCAAAATTTTAAGCCAATCCGATCCGAAATCCGAAGTATATGTATATACATATAAAAGCTGGCCTAGGGTACTGCTAAATGGTGGAACTATCTATTATCTAGACATTGGTTTCTATTATGGGCAGCAACTGTTATGGGCTGCAAGCAACTATTAATATTAAGTTTTTACTATGGACTTCAACCTATTGACTATATGTTGATGATGTTTTTGCACCAGTTAAGATTGTTTATGCATGTTTATCATCTGAAAAATGCAGATGATATGCGCAGCAATTATTATGTTTATCAGTCTGGTGTGTCAATAACATTTTTTTTGCTATTAAGGAGCTCAAGATCACATGGTTTTGAAGGTCTGATAAGGCTCACAATCCAAACTGAAAACCAATATAATTATCCGACCTGAACAGCAAAATCCGAATCGATCCGAGTCTAATTCAATTCGAATGCGGATTACATTTAGGAAATCCGAAATAGTAATCTGACAATGCCTAAATCCGATCCGATTCGACCGATGCGGAGGCCTACGTGCGCAAGCTGACCCAGCACCACGGTTATAAAAAAAGTTATTATGAAAGATTTGTTTCTCTATCATTCGATGTTCTTCACATTTTCAGTTTCAAGCTTTAATGGACAATGTTACCTGGTACCTATTGCTAGTGGGAGGTAATAAGTATCCCGTGAAATTAGTTGAGGTGCGAGCAAGCTAACCCTGACACCACGATTGTAGAAAAAATTATAAGAATTTAGTTTCTCTATAATTCGAAGTTCTCTGCATTTTCAAATGTCATATAAATCTTTAACAAGACTAAAAGACACCTAACAAACATTGAACCCAAATTAAGCGGTAGTATCATGACCAAAACTTGATCTCAGCTAATTGGTATCGCCTATGACAATGGCTGTTTTATATCTGGCTAACAATGGTCCATGTCCCTTTTCATATCTTTCGAAACATTAGCACAAGAAAATTCTGCCATCCATCTACTCTATCAACAGCCACAAGATTAAAACCAGCAATTGTTTGAACTGTGAGAACCAAAATAATTTCAAAACTGAAGGTGGAGCAAATTATAATTTTTCTGGTCTTGTATATTATATTCTGCCATCCATCTACACTATCATTTGAAGTTTTGTTTTCTAACAATAATCCATCTATAAGTACTTCAAGCTGTGTTTAGAAATTGGCGGTTTGAACAAAGAAGCATTTTAATATGATATTAAACAAAGACAATATGTTTTGTGAAATCCAATATGTATTTGCTGACCACTAATTAGAATTTAATTAATGGAATTCAAAGACATAAACTGCACGTAACATACATTATTATGAGTGAAAAAGTAAGAAAATATATTGAGATCGAGGTGAATGCACAAAGACAAGCAATGGCGATTCGAACTAAGAAGAATTATGCTTTTTCCCATCTAGAGAAACAAGAAAATGACAATTTCAGGCAAATTCCAATAGCTTTAACCTCTTTAATTAACGCCAACCATTTTGGACATTTATCTTAGTGACAATCTTCCCTATGTTTTCCTTATTTGTCATCTTTCTTAATCTATATATTATATATTCTCAAACTTTGGACAAAATTAACTTCAAGCAGTAACTAAAAGAAAGAGGAAACTGCTATAGTTGTTAACTTTAGAAGCTGTCAAAAATGGCGATAACAACGTTTCCAACTGTCGATAAATGTGCATCGATAGGGCGCGAAAAGGACACGGTGGTGGCGGACATGGACGGAACTTTGCTTCGAGGCCGAAGCTCTTTCCCTTATTTTGCCTTAGTTGCTTTTGAAGTTGGAGGGGTTTTAAGGTTACTTTTCCTTATCTTGGCTTCGCCACTGGCTGGACTCCTGTACTATTTCGTCTCGGAGTCTGTAGGAATCCAAGTTCTTATTTTCACGACGTTTGTAGGAATGAAGGTATCTGATATAGAATCGGTAGCACGTGCAGTGCTACCAAAATTCTATTATGGGGATCTTCATCCCGAGTCCTGGAAAGTGTTCTCTTCGTGTGGAAAACGTTACGTTTTGACCGCTAATCCGAGGGTTATGGTGGAAGCATTCTTAAAAGATTTCTTAGGAACTGATATAGTTTTAGGGACTGAAATTGGAATTTATAAAGGTAGGGCTACTGGTTTTGTTCAGAAGCCAGGAGTCCTTGTTGGGAAGAATAAAGCTGATGCTCTTAAAAAGACTTTTGGAGAGACTCAACCTGAGATTGGATTGGGTGATCGTCATACTGATATTCCTTTCTTGGCTTTGTGCAAGGTTAGGTTCTTAATTTACCATATTTATTCATCATTAACTACTCATATTAATCTCTCTCTCTCTCTCTCTCAAAGTAGTTCAACATGATGAAAATTCTATGATGAACCACAGCATAGTCCAACAAACGTTGTATATTCTATCTGACGTTGAAGTAAATGTATGAACGTTTCTTCCAATTTAGGTGACACTATTTCCGAATTAGTCCGTTCTAAAAATAATACTCACATTTCTATGTTTGATAGTAATATTTAACCTCACACTTTTAAGTTTTTCCTTTAACGAACATAAATATTATAACATCTTTAAAGCTGCGAGTTTCAAAAGTCTTTCATTTCCTTCTTAAATTTTGCGACTAGTCAAACATTTCACGTAAATTGGAATATAGGAAGTATGACATTTGAATATGCACCAAAATATAGAAGGAAGACGACAAACCTGTTTTATAAGATCAATGAAAAACTTCATGTTCGTATTCTATTATGTGAATATTATAATCTTGGATTATATAAGTTGGAACTCAATGAAGTAACAAAGTTTAAAATGCAGGAGGGGTACATTGTGCCACTAAAGCCAAAAGTTAAGGCAGTAACCACAGACAAACTTCCCAAGCCCATCATTTTCCACGACGGCCGATTAGTTCAAAAGCCAACACCAATCATGGCATTGCTCATCATTCTATGGATCCCCGTTGGTTTCATCCTTGCTTGCTTGCGCATTGCTGCTGGATCACTCCTCCCTATGCCAATTGTCTACTACGCATTTTGGGCACTAGGCGTTCGTGTAACCGTTAAGGGTATCCCTACACCTCCTGTGAGGAAATCCGATAACAAATCGGGTGTCCTCTTTATTTGTTCCCACAGGACTCTTCTTGACCCTATCTTTCTCTCCACCGCCCTTGGCCGACCTATTCCAGCTGTTACATACTCCGTTTCACGACTCTCTGAGATCATTTCACCGGTTAAGACGGTTAGACTGAATCGTGATCGAGATTTGGATGCTTCCATGATCAAGAAACTCCTACAAGAAGGCGATCTTGCAATTTGCCCCGAGGGGACTACGTGTAGGGAACCGTTTCTTCTTAGGTTTTCGGCCTTGTTTGCTGAGTTAACCGATGAGCTCGTGCCAGTGGCCATGGTGAATAAGATGAGCATGTTTCATGGTACGACGGCGAGAGGATGGAAAGGGATGGACCCGTTTTACTTTTTCATGAACCCTAGCCCGGCTTATGAAGTTACATTCTTGAACAAGTTGCCCTATGAGATAACTTGCAACTCTGGCCGAAAATCAAGTCATGAAGTGGCTAATTACATACAAAGGGTCATTGCTGCAACCCTTAGTTATGAATGTACTACTTTTACAAGAAAGGATAAGTATCGCGCACTTGCTGGAAATGATGGCACTGTTGTGGAGAAGCCTAAGACCAAGAAGCGTATAATGGGATGCTAATTTAATGTCAGCTATACTTAGCATTAATTAGAAGATTTCAACTTTTTAAATATTAATCATGTACTCTCCTTATAAGAATGGCAAGGGTACTCGTTAAAAAAAGGAAGTTATACATCTATTTCTTCTTGTATTTGCATATCATTGGAATCATGACTTCATGACTGTCAATTAATTGGATTGTTTTAACTTTTATGCAAAAGTTTGCTCAGACTACGGGAAGAACCAAGATTGATAGTATCAGTTAAAAGGTAGAAGCAAATTGTTGAGTATTGAGATTTTAGTGATTAACAAAGTTTGTTCTGATGAAATTTTCGAAGAACCAAGTCCTCAACATAGTTGCTTAACTGCTCTAAGAACTAGCTCCTCGGGCTGAAGGACTAGCTCCTCATGGCAGATGATTATACGTCTGTGCAAGACAGTAACTTAATCTCAAAGTTACTCAGGTCTGAGTTTGGTGGAAGAAGGATGCTTCACATGATAAGGGTTGTTGGCCAAGAAAATACGCATAAATAAGTGAGAGACAAGAGTCCCAAGACTGGTGGAGTCCTTGGAACAGTAGGAGTCCTATCAAACAAGAAGTTGACTACGCATAGGACTCCTAGAAGATCCTGGAGTCCATGGATTTAAATACTATCCATCTGGACTGTTGAAACTATTCTTTTACACATCAACTGAAGAACTACATTTTACACACTCTAGTCGAGCACCCGTGTTGTGTTCTTCTTGAGTCAGTCTAGTAAATGTGTTTTAGGAAATCGAGTTGTAATCAAAGTGTCACAAACAATTAGCGAGTTGGAGTGAGTGTTTGCTTTATAGGTTAGAGTAACTTGTAAATCAAATAGTCGTAGTAGGAGTACTGGAGAATATTGAGTTACAGTCTTATAATCGATACATTTTGGCTCATTGTTCTAGTGGAGTTGAAGTTGAAAATCCTACACAGTAGGTCGTGGATTTTGCACCTTTTGAGCCAGGTGATTTTCCACGTAAAATTGTTGTTTTTACTTTATTGCTTATTTTATTTCACGTCTAAGGAGTACGGTATAGAACCAAGTTCTTTAGTAATTTATAAGGGCACTCAACCTAACAATTGGTATCAGAGCGGGTTCTCTCTCTCACACGGCTAACACCTAGAGAGATCTTTGAAGCAAAATGAGTTCTCAACCCGGAATTAATGAAGGACAATCAACTACCAGAACACCCATGTTCAATGGAAAATATTACAGTTGGTGAAAAGCAAAAATGAAAGATTTCCTGACAGCTGAAAAGTATGAACTATGGACCATAGTGAAACCAAGGTCCATTAACTCCTACTAAACAAAATGCACAAAATGAAACAATTCCTAAGGACCCCACTGAATTTATGGTAGCAGTTTTCAGAATGATAAAGAAGAATACAAAGACTAAGAAAATCCTTATGTATGGACTTGGTCCTGATGAGTACAACAGAATATCTGCTTGCTCTAATGCAAAGGAGATCTGAGATGCACTCCAAACTGCTCATAAAGGAACAAACCGATTGAAGAGATCAAGGAGAGAACTACTTATGAGAAACTATGAGCTCTTCTCCATGAAGGAGTCTGAGCCCATCCAGGAGATGATGACTAGGTTTACCATAATAACTAACGAACTGAAGTCACTTGGAAATGTGTTTAGCTCAGAAGAGTTGGTTAGCAAAGTTCTAAGGATCCTTCCAGCTTCATCGGAGTCAAAAGTCACAACTATTCAGTAAGCCAAGGAGCTGGACAAGATCTCACTTGATGAGTTGGTTGGAAACTTAAAGACTCATGAAATGAGAAAGATAGAACTGTGTAAGGAAGAACCAAAGAGGGCTAAGGCCTTGGTCCTTAAAGAGTTTGAGGAAGATTAATCTGACAGTGATGATCCAGACCTAGCAATGTTTTCTAAGTTCAAGAAGTTCATGAAGAACTCCAAAAATGCATCTAAGAGAGAGACCGGCGGTATTATGATGGGTTCCTACAAGTGCATCAAGCTAGACCACATGGTCAAGGACTGCCCAATGTGGGAAATTGAGTGGAGGAAAGAACGAGTTGAAAAGGAGAAATGGGAGAAGATGAGAGAAAATGGTTCCAACAAAGGAAAAATCCTAGTAAATGATTTACTGAAGCAATGAAGCAGGCCTTTTTAGCAGCATATGAGGATAACGGAAGTGATAGAGAAGAAGAAAAGGAGGATGATTCCATAAGTCTCTATGCTGCACTAACAAATCAGGAATTGGTTACAAAAATCATATTCCCGAATTTGATACAAAGTATGTAGGAATTTCTGATAAGGAAATGTGCACTCATTGTGGAAAGGTAGGACACTTTAGAGATACTTGTCCTGCCTTAATTCATGCTCAGTTTAAAAAAATACCTTTGGCCTTGCTAAAAATGTGAAGAAGGGATAGGAACCAAAAGCCAAGCCTTTTGTCCATACTAGGTGGATTAAGGTTAACAAGAAAATATCTATTAATCCTCTTCCCTTCTGGGCAAGAAGAGATCTGATTCATCCCTTTTCAAATCAAAAGGGACCCAAGCTTCTCTGATTTTTGGTGCAGGCTAAAGTGAGAGGGAACAATAAAGACTGGTATCTAGACAGTGGATGCTCATATGACTGAAGAAAAGAAAAACATCCTCTCACTGACAGCCTTCCAAGGAGGGAGTGTGTCATTTGGAAATAGGAAAAAGGGCTAGATAACATGTATTGGTAAGGTCGATAAGTCATTCTTTCATGCTATAGAAGATGTTCATTATGTCGTAGGCCTCAAACACAATCTTCTTAGCATCTCTCAAATGTGTGATAAAGAAAATAAAGTAAAATTCAATTCTGAAATTTGCACTATCACTAAGCTTGATACTGATGAAGTTGTGTTAAAAGGTAAGAGACATAACAATGTTTACAAGTTATCCATTATGTATCTTCTTTAGAGTGAGCACACATGCTTAAGTGTACTGGAGGATGATCCACTGTTATGGCATAGAAGACTAGGTCATGGCAGTCTTTCTCAACTCAACAAGGTGGCAGCAAAGGACTTAGTCCTTGGCTTACTAAAAATTGAGTTCTCCTCAGACAAGGTTTGTTATGCCTGTGTTAGAGGGAAACATGTAAAGTCACCTTTTAAATCTAAAAAGGTTTTCAGCACCTCCATACCTCTGAAACTCCTTCACATGGACCATGTGGATCAATGAGAGTAAGGAGCAGAGGAGGTAAGAAGTATGTTTATGTCATTATAGATGACTTTTCCAGGTATACATGGACTCTGTTTTTTGGATGTAAAGATGAAACTTTTGATGTTTTCTGTGTTTCTGTCAGAATGATCTGACAGAAACTGGGTTGTAATGTGTTAAGTATAAGAACAAACCATGGAACTGAGTTTAAAAATTCTAAATTCCTTGAGTTCTATAACACACTTGGGAACTACTCTGACCACTAACCAGACTGATGAAGCTATACTTACTGAAACTGTTCTTTTGGGTCACTCCTTAGGTGAACAACCTCTGGGAATGCAGATTAGGCCATGGAAATATCAAAGCTCACATCCTCTTGAGAATATCATCTGTGATCCTAATGCAGGAGTGCAAACCAGTTCATCTCTGAGAAATCTATGTGCACACACAATATTCCTCTCACAGGTTGAACCTAAGAACATGAAGAAAATACCACAAGGAACAAGGCCAAACTGGTGGTTCGGGGATACAATCAAGAAGAATGCATTGACTATGATTAGACTTTTGCACCCGTAGCCAGAATGGAAGCTATAAGAATGCTAATAGCTTTTGCTGCACATAGAGTTCACCTTGTATAAGATGGATGTAAAAAGTGCATTCTTGAACGGCTATCTGAAGGAGGAAGTGTTTGTTAAACAACCTCCTAGGTTTGAGAGTGAAGAATTTTCTGACTATGTGTTCAAGTTAGACAAAGCCCTGTATGGATTGAAACAGGCTCCAAGAACTTGGTATGAAAGACTCTCAAAATTCCTCTTAACTAACAACTTTGTTAGAGGAAATATGGACAACACTCAGTTTCTGAGGAGCAAATGCAAGAATATTCTGATTGTACAAGTATATGTGGATGACATTATCTTTGGATCTAGAAGCAATGTGCAAGAAATTTGCTGAGATGATGGGGAATGAGTATGAAATGGGCATGATGGGTGAATTGAACTTCTTCCTAGGGTTGCAAATCAAGCAAATACCTATTGGAACCATGATACAACAACAAAAATATATCAAGGAACTGCTGAAGAAATTCAACATGGACTCCTCTAAGTCCATATACACTCCCATTTCCATTACAACAAAGCTGGACCTTGATGAAGAAGGGAAAAGTGTTGAACAAAAGCTATATAAAGAAATGATCGGGTCATTGTTGTATCTCGCAACAAGCAGGTTTGATATTGTATTTACTGTGGGACTGTGTACAATATTTTAGGCAAATCGTAAAGAGTCTCATTTGAAGGTTGTCAAGAGGATACTTAGATATCTAAAATGAACTCCTCATCTATGCTTGTGGTATCCTAAAGGGTATAGCTTTGATCTAGTTGGTTATGCAGATGCTGACTATGTAGGTTTTCATGTTGACAGGAAAAGCACTTCAGGAACAACACATTTTGTAGGGTCTTTTTCTCGTTTCTTGGGGAAAAAGAAGTAGAACTCAGCGGCTTTATCCACAATTGAGGCTGAATATGTGGTAGTAGCATCTTGCTGTGCTCAATTGTTGTGGATAAGACAACAGCTAAGAGACTATGGTATTTTTGTTGATTGTGTTCCTATTTTCTGTGACAACACTAGTGCCGTAAACATTGCTAAAAATCCATGTCAGCACAAGAGAACCAAGCACATTGATATTAGACACCACTTTCTCAGAGACAATATTGAAAAAGGGAACATCTCAATTAACTTCTGTAAAACTGAAGATCAAATTGCAGATATCTTTACTAAAGCTCTGAGTAGGAACCACTTTGAAAGAAATAGACTGGAACTAGGACTAATCAATATATC